GAACCAGCAGGTGTTAAGGCAAGACGGTGTCCAGGTCATCTCTGGAGATGAGGTCATCCAGGTGCGCAGTGTTGCCTGTTCCTGTATTCTCAGCTTCCGTGTGCCAATCCTCAGTTGCTAAGTTTGTCCAAAATACAGAATAAAATGCTGCTCCAGCACCTGTCAGGTGGTGGCTGGCACAGTTTTTGGAAATAAAGTACGGCCTTTGCAAATGCTGCCCACATTGCTGCCAGCATACACTCCTGTTGGCAAGCACCACCTTCCACCAATCAAGTGCCCCCCTCCCCAGCCCAGAAGATGCGATGCACATTTCTTGCCGCCCTGCAAGAGAATAGGAGAAATATCAGCCACCAGCAAGGATTTACTGAAGGGCATCAGCACAACAAGCGTGATCTGGAGAAGTTTCGCAGGGTGTGTTTGTTGCCGAGCTGGCCTGTGGAGATTGCATGCTTGTACTTCCACTGCTCCCCATTCGAAATCTGGGCAACCTTGTCCTCCAGCCACCAATCTTTTGACAGTATGTGGCAAAGATGGACAAGAGCAGAAAGGCAAAGTGTTTGCAACGGGAAACCAGGATGCAGTCGTTTCATCAGTTTGCTTGCTGATATGTCCTCAAAACTCGAGCGCTCTTCCACACTGGATTGCTTTCATTATCTGGATGCTACAATCTTATGCAAACATATACCCAACGTTAGTGCAAAGTAATGTTTCTGGCAGGGGGGCTGGGTGTGGTCTAATGTACAGTTGCAACTGCAAGATGATCCAGCTCCCAGTAAACTCTATCCTATTGGTTTTGGCGAGGTGAGTGTGCACTTTCTGAAATCCTTGCTCAACTTCTAGACGGGCTTTCTTGGGAACGTGTGGTAGGTTGTTTTGGAGAAGGTGCAGCCCAAGCATGTGCGCCGCAAGGTGCAGGAAGTGCTCCAGCGTGCAGGTTTTGAGAAGCTCGCAAAGTCTGTCGCTGGTGTTGACGTGCAGCCGCCCATGGGAGTCATGGCCTACATGTGGGGAGAGAAGGAACTGACAGTCGAGATGGTGGGTTGTTTTGCGGAGCACAGCGTGGCAGTGCCAGAGAACACATCAACTGCCCAGAATTGATTGCACATGCATCAGCAGCTGTTCACAGACTTGAGCATCGTTTATTGCACATTGTGCACTGTGCTTGGGCATCGTTTGAGTACAGTAACACGTTGCGAGGTCATTGTGATATTGTCCCACACTTTGAGCGCATAGGTACTTGCTTCCCACCAGCCACAGAATTTTGCATCCTGTATGACATGCCTGTGAAGGAACCTTCTTGTGCTTGGTGAACAAGCCTCTGCGATCTTGTTGTCACGTGCCATTTGCAATTTGCATTCACATTTGTTGGTGCACTTGCATTCACATCTGTGTGAGAATTTGATCACATGTGGTAATTTTGGTTGTGTTCATTGTGTCGTCAGCAGCTTTTGGCCCTCCAGACATGCCTGCCAACTTGTCCCTGTTGTTCCCTTTGTCCCTAGGTTGAGTTTGCCGCAAGGAAGGCGTGGACATGCTTCGTGATGGCCACCCTGCTCAACAATGTCAAGTCCGAGGAGTTACCACTGATCGGGGGAATTGGCTCAGCGACCCCGGCCACGGATCCTGAAATCAACCGAATTGCGCAGCAGTCCCTGAAGCTTGGGGCGCAGGGTAGCGGTGTGGCGGGTGGTGCTTGACCCAACGCCAGCTTCTTTATGAAGTCAGGGAGTGGCATAGATTGCTCGTCGCCTTGTGTACATTGTTGCAGTGTTATTCATTCACTTAATAAGGATGGAATGCAGGCTCTCCAATTATGTGTGCTGGGGCGGGGAAGCATAAATTCTGGATTTAGGGTCCCCATTGCGTATATCTAACACATGAGAATCGTTGCTAATGCGTGCCTGATTGGATATGTACGCCTCTACCATGGTGTACATTTGACACAAACGATGAGTACTTTCTTTGGGCTTCCTGACACAGGAGCGTGGTGGACGACTCGTCCCTGCTGATATCGGTGTCCTGTTGCTGCGTTAACAAGAACTTGTATTCAAATGCAGTGGCCAAAACAGCACTTGAGTAATGCTGCCGGCTGTTGTGATCCGTTGATATGGGTCCCAAGGCCGGCATGTACACTTCCCACTCCACCACCAGCCCAAAAAAGCAAAGAAAGAAAAAAAAAACACTTGCTCCAGCCTGGTCCAGCCTGACGACGATTGACCAAACGGGGTCTCTGCAATCATGCACGTACATCGATATTGGGCGCAGCGGCGCAACTCCTGCAAGGGATCGAGTCCGCCCCAGCGCACCAGAAAAGAATATCGCCTTACGTTCTCATTCATTGACAGCAAAGTACTGCCTCTGCACTTTACGTGTCACGCTTGTAGAGCCAGAAGGCAAAACTATATCATCATCACCATCATCATGAAATTTTAGGTGACAAGGCAATGTGGTGGCCGTAAGCTTGGCATCTTGGCCCAGCAAAAATTATGTCAGGATCTCTCTGCGGCTGAATCGTACCACACAGCGAGGGCCTTCCAGGAACCGCCCACAGTCGTCGCCCCTGGCCCCGCTAAGCACGCCCGCGTTGCGGGGCCCTTCCTCTCTCACACACACGCACCTCGCCGAGACGATGGAGTTCGAGATGACGCCAGTCGCGATGGATGTAGGCGCTCGGCTGCGCGGCAAGCGGAAGCACGACGGTGGCAGCCCGTGCGCCGGTGGCGACAGGCGGGACGCCGTCGCCAAGCGGCAGCGCGCGGCAGCGCGAGACACCACGCCGGGTACGCCACGGCCACCCGCCCTTCTTTAGATGATCTGAATCTGGCGGGATGTTTTGTTATTTGGTGGATGAGCGGGGAAGGATGGCGCCGGGAGGGTGGGGGGTGGGGGGTTTAGAGGCACAAAAGAGAAACAGGTCACACAACGGGCAACCATTCTAACCAAGTGCGCGCCAGACTCTTTTTCCATGTTGTGAGAAGATGATGTTCGGTCTCCGGTGCAACAAGGACAGCACACGACGCAGAGGAGTGTGGGTGGGTGGGTGGGTGGGGGATGTGGGCCGTTTGTTGCTGACGTCCGCGGTGGCGGTGCAGGGATGGGAGGCTGGACCGTGAGCAGGTCGATTCTGGGCAAGTTGGGAGGATTCGCGCTGCGGTCGGGGTGCAAGGTGGGTGTCAGGGCGTCCTCGCGCGAGCGACATGGGGCGGTGGCCGCTTTCCTTTGCTGGTTTTGTTCTTGCTGCGGCTGTTCGAAAGTCGTGCGTCATGTCGTCGAGCCCGCGGCGCCGCGTGCGGCCCGCCGCGCTCCAGCCGGGACACCGGGACAGAACGCGGCGGGTGCGCCATGGGGATTAAATCGTGTCGAAATGGCGGGGCCGCGGGAGAAAGCACGACGGCAAGTATCTGGCGCTGTTCAACGCCGCGCGCGAAACAGCAACACAGCGAGCCGCCGCATTGCTGCCCCGTGATCGCGACATTCCGAGCATGTCCGCGAGCTGGAGCCCCGGCCTGCGAAACGATCGGGCGCCCGCCCCCCTGAACGCGCGCGTGTGAGGCGGCGGATGCGTGCCAATGGTTGGGACGATCTGCGGCTGGTGTTTTGGCGGGTTGCGTGCATGGCTTGTTGGTGGGGCGGCGCGGTGCGTTCAGGGTGGCTAGCGACGCGCATACGAAAGCGGGGTCACCCGAAGAAGTGCTTGCTCGGAAGACGGGACCACTCGTCGCTGGGTTCTGTCGTGTCGGGGTACTGCACTGCGTTCACGAGTGCTGGGTAGATGTTCGGCAATGCGGTGCTTGCCATGTTGTGCACGGTGGTGCTTACGTGCTTCTATGTTCGTCGATTCTAGCCTCCATCGCAACCTGTCGTTCTGTTTTCATCTTCTTTCACTTCTTGTGTTTTCGTCGTTCAAATGAAAGTACGCTGAAGCGATCTGTTCTAAGAAAGCCTGCACAGTGAAAAGAGAATCAAAAAGCGTTCGCCTTTGCTTTATTTCTAGTCGTTTTGTTTCTTTGCCTCCTTCAGACTGCGGGATTATGGTGACGATATGGTTGGGACCAAAGGCGATGACAGTGCACGCTCAGCACCAGTCCAAAACAACTGCCACAGTGTTGCCAACGTAAAGATACCCAATTGCGAGGTAAATGATCAAACTGAACATGGGATGTTCCATACAAAACTTGCTTACATCGCTTCCTGCTTTTGAATAGACGCCTAAGGGTGGGAGTCTTCTGGACGGCAGCGTGGTTTTCGCACTGCAGAACTGTCAGTCCTACAGACGATTGGTGTGTCCGTAACGTATCCCAAGGCAGCAAACAGTGGGGTAGAAAACACCAGCGAGAGGGGTAACATGGCACAACTAATCGCCTTGCGTTTGAAATGTCTGACCTTTTTGGCACGTCTCGTGCTACTTATTAATGAGGCACTGCGGTGCCCGATTTATCGCAATGTAATTCAACGAAATATCGAGTCGAATTTTTTGCCTGCAGCGCCAATTGCAGCAGTGGGGAAGCCTTGTCGGTCCGTCCCAATATTTTGTATGGTGCACACGACCCTGGCTCGCTTTTTGGCCACACCATCGTGGACTGAGCGAGCCTGCATTGGCACACTGTCTCACGACTGAATACATACCGCCACGAAGTCTTTCCATCAGTCGCGCTCTCTTGCCTTGGACTCATCTGGACGACCGTCGAGCACTTCTGAATTTACTGGGCAATGAACAAAATCTCAAAAAAACGTAGGCCATCTCAACCATTTCACTCCTCATTTCAATCCCGGACATTGCGCATGTGGTATATTGTTCATAGTAGAGGAAATCGCCTAAGAACGACCAATTCGTGTAATCTTTAGTTAGTGGCATTGGCTTTAATGCGTTTTACAATTCAGTGCCATGACTGGTGACGCCGCAGTTTTCAAATGGCGGTAGCAGCTCCTGTTTGTGGGCAACACTCTTTTTAAGATTACAAACAATCTTTCCGTTGCGTGCCTTTACGTCTTCATGCTTTTCGTTCTGGACTGTTTTTAATTGTGCCTAAACAGTTTAAGCAGCTGATGCTCTGTAAACGAGCAGAACAAGATGTCGGCACCCTGTTCCGGGTTGTGCACAACGGTATTTTGAAACATCCACGTCTTTGTTTTCCCTTTCATCCAAGATATTGTATCGTATTCAAAACAGCTTCGCTCGCAGGCGGAAGGAACTGGCAAGCCTCCCGCCTTTTCAGCCACACCCGTTTGCAAATCTTCCGCCACTCCCCGAGATTTTGGAGGTCCCAGGGTGACCCCCCGGCATAGAGCGACAGGCTGTGGCGCCGGCGTTCGGCCGCCAGCCCCCATGTTCGCCCCCAAAGCCCCACCACAAGGTCAGTACCCATTGGGAAATAATGCCATCAAAACCCGGTGAAGATCACAGAAATGGCGTTCATTTGTGGAGTCCAAACTGAAAGCAAACTGTGTCTATTGTGCCAAAATATAAACACAAATGGAACCTGCATAAATGGACAATAATTTGCCTTTGACAGACCAGAATCCACGAAAGACGTCGTTGGCACACCGTATGGACAAACCCACACGTAGCAACACTTCGTGGCACGGCCTTTCATATTCCTTGCCCTACATCTGCTGTTGCAGCACTGCAAATAAATATTACACAATTTGGGCGATACAGCGCTCCCAAGCACGGACGCAAAATATGTGCAAGGGGGTATAATACGGAGTGGAATTGTCTGCAACAGGTGATGCAGAACGTAAATATCTGACAGAGAATGGCCAACAGTCGACAAATCAGATGATCATGGATTCCTTGCAGGCCAATCTGCCCTGGGAGCAGCATTTGCGGCTGCGGCAACGCCGCTTGCACCTCCATTCCGAACGCGCGCTGCCCCGGCAGCGTCTGTGCCATTTGCTGCTTTCGGTACGCCCTTCGCGGCTGCCCCGACCCCTGCACCGCCCTCTCCCCGCACTCCCCGGACCCCCCTCACCGGCATCGCGGACCTCTTCCGAACGCACGCGGCCGCCGCTCCAGTGAAGGCTCGAGGCCGCATGTCTGTCAGGTCGCACCCCTCACACGCTGTACTAATTTCGGCACGTCAATTTGCACTCGATTAGTAGTTATGTAGAACAATGGTGGGCGTTAATTAATGCAAATATTTAAGCACTGTGACTTAGGCACCAAGAGCGACGTTCCGATTGACCGATTTGGCTCTTCTTGCACAAGGTGTGCATATCGTGGCGCATATTGCGGCTCCCCAATGGCAGCAATGCGCGATGCTCGGAAGTTGAATACTGATTTGTCGGGCACGAAATCCGTGCGAAGTTTGCGTGCCTTTATCCATCAGGCTGAACGGCACGCATATTGGGCACACAGCGGCGCAGCGCTTTCGCCAACGAACTGTGAATGAACTTTTTCATTGGAGTGAATAACGTGGGGTTTGGGCCCCTTTGGTAGGCATTACGATTTCCTTGAAGGTCGCCATCAACTGACCCGCCAAACAACCTTGGCATACGAGTTCTGTGGAGACACGTACTATGCCAGCGTGTCACTCTTATCGTTGCCTGTGAAGATGCACACATTCGTCCATACCTTCGAATTGCCAATTGATATTCTTGCTCACGATGCCAGGGGCAAGCAATGGGCCACGTGCTGCCCATATGGAGCCTTTGATGGCGCACCATCTCGAATGTGCAACAAAAGGGCGGAAGAGTG